ATATAAGTTAAATTTATCTGAGCTGCACTGATGAGTCCTTAAAGGACGAAACAACGTTGTATGCAGATTGATTTAACTTATATATATATATATATATATATATATATATATATATATATACACCTTATTTGTTTAACCTAATTATATTTAAAGTAAAACTTACTAGCAGTCTGCATCTAATGGAAGATCGAACAAAACGCTGTCTTTTTTACTAGAAGGATTTATGTTGTTGCGTATGAGACTCGCTGACTTTCCAATCTTCTTTAGACGTCGGATTGCTATCTCTTCCATTGTTTTACGAATCGACGGATATTCGATGACGACTTTTTGAAAGTTCTCTACAGACAGAGAGAACAGAGAACAGTATGTCTCTGAACGAATGCTTGCTACCCGTCGTTCGTGTGTCAGCAGACAGATTTCTGAATGTAAGAAGATATGTTTTTGATACCGTACTAAAAATCCTTTTAATGTATAAAAGTAAATGTTATTATAAAAGTGTAAAAAAAAGTAAGCAAAATATGACGTCGGTTAATGAAAACAAATAATAATTGGTTAATATGACAATTTATAATGATGCATATAGGATTTTAGTTCTATTATATTCCATATCATTATAACTGCTTGATATAGTTTTGAATAAGGAAATTCTCTGAAACACAAATCATTGCCTATCTTAATATTCCTTCCGTCAAGAATAAATTCTTGAAGAAGACCCTCCTCTTACTGCAGATTATCAATAAAGAACCCATAAGGAATAGACGAGTATAATTGAAGAGCAACGGACCCCTTGGGGACACGTTAAAGTGTTCACGGACCCATGTCCATGTTCCACCAATAGGATAAAATTATAGTTAGACGATAATTCGCACAAAGTATCGAAGCACACTGTTGTAAGATGAAAAAATAATGGAGTCATGAAACAATTGTCTAATAGTTCATCGTACTCCAACATTTTTCGTGGACCCCTGCGGACCCTTTCCACTTAGCAAACTGAACAACCTTCCATCCCTCTCTATACTCTCGCCCTATATTACTCTCCTATTGCACACTCTGTATATTTTTTTCAGGTAGAAATTTTACCTCCAAAATACGATCCTTCGGATAGAGAAGTGGCAACATCTCCGTCATGCGTTAAAACATCCACCACCCCTTGCTGTATAAAGAACATACGATCGCCAAACGTCCCTTCACGGATAATGATGTCACCCGGTTGGAACACCTCAAATTTTAGTAACGTCACAACCTTTGTGACAAAATTTGGTTCTGCTTTCATAAAAAATGGGACGGAAGATACAAGCGATCGACAGTTGTAGTTGGCAATAGTCTGCGTGGAAAATATAAGGTAGTGTCAGTAAGGAATATCATAACTTCTACTGTGTAAAACAATCACTAAACCTAAAACTTCTTCCATTCGTCTGTTCATTTATTCCTTCACATTTTCATTGATAGTAGTAGGGGAGGGAGAGTTCTGAGCCACATATCCCCAAAACGCCCTCTGATTGGTCAATTAAACACCTAATTTGCATATTGATGACATCACGCCTAATTTGTATATTGATGACGTCATCAACCTAATTTGACCTCTGATGACCTTTAAATTAATAAATATTATATAGGGCTGAATACTTTCTTGAAAAATTCAATTGACTTAAAGAAAATTATTTCCAATACTTAAAATGGATCCTAAAGAACTTGAATCTAATATGAAGTTACTTCCCTTTACTCAACTTTACGGATACAGATCAAACTATGGAACCTATTTAGGTTGCCCTATAGAGATAAACCCTTGTGTACCAGATCAAGAATGGAACAAACACTTTATTTGGATCAACGGTAAAAAGGAAGTTAAACCAGGTCACCTTAAGATTTACGCTGAAGTAGATAGACTTAGAACTCTATATAACCAAACAAAGTGTTGTCACAATTAAATATTTTATAACCCTCTCAAGGAATATAAAATATAACCTATTTAGTTAGCCAACTTATGGCAAATAACAAACCTGTAAACAAGGCCAACCCCGTTATTTTTGTAGATAGACTTTCTCTGGTATATTCATTCTCTTTTTGGATTTCATCATTATCTATTTTTATTATACCCAGTCTAAATATTTAACTCATTATATGCTGGAGGTGCTGTTGAGGTCAGATCATTTTGAAAAACTAAACTCTCTGCTATACTTGTTGGTTGTAATCTTTATACTGCAGTAATATCCCGGGCTAGTATACTCTCTTGCATTTTTTTGAAGGCCTCTGCCTTTCCATTCAGAAAGCTCTGATTAACCAGTGCTTGAATGTCAAACTTGTCCTTCTCCTTTCTAAGATTAGTCCTTATCTCGTTTTTGTGATTGAGATAGTTTTGATGGTCATCCTCGATAAACTGGTATTCTTCATGACTTATATCCCTATCAGCCCTAGCTTTACTCACTAGTTTACTGATTGTACTGGGACTACTTTCTGCAGACTTTTTTTATCTGCAGATGCTTGGTCAACTTCTTTTCCAGAGGTTTGTTTACAGCTATCCCAACCCCGGACAAAAATCCCAAAGTACAACTACCACACCGATAGGAATTCCCACCGGTCCAGCGAAAACTGTTGCCGATAAAGCAACCCCCGTAACACCACTCATTGCTGAAATTCCCAACATACTCTTGCTAGTTGTCGATAATACAGATACCAACTTTTTGTATTTATGATAAATCTTGTCTGTCTTCTAATATGATAATTGTTACTAGAATACAGAACACCTCTCCCCACCGCATGACCAAATTCCCCCGTTTTTACTATCAAAATGTTAGCATGTATGAAAACTGCATTATTTTTTTTAAAAGTGAATATGTCGATTGAAAAAGATTTTATTACGAACTTAATAACATATTAACCAGTCCAGTGGTGATATTCACATGAAGAACGGATGCCAGCTGTCTTTACTCAAAATGACTGACATTTTTCCAGATGCATGTCAAGTGTTTTTACAATATCAGCCACTCCGGATCTAATCTAGAAATTACATAAGAGTTCCTTAATCAGCAGATCAACATATCTTGTTAGAACAATAAAACTTGTGTCATGCTATTCTTCTCTGCCATCTACACATTTGAAACTTGAAATTATTTCATTAGGTATTATTGTTTGAGAGTTTGCATGCCGAAGTAACAATAATAAAAAAAAATGTACCGGTGATGTTGGTGGTAGTAGATATCTACATGGTGTAGAGCAAACTGGTGTAGTCAAACGTGAATAAGATCGAGAACCACAATGGAAACCATTACACCCACCCACTCTTTCATCATTAAGGATTAAATTGGTAGGCATAAATACCACCTATGCCCTTCAAATTAGCCTCATTGTATACTACTAGTGTTTAAAGCAAATTCAGTTATTATGGTTTAGACGTCTGTTCAAGCACTTTAACAGACGTCTACACCATAAAATCGGGCAGAAAATTATAATTCTTGCGCCATTTTTTTCTGGAACTCAAATTTAGCCACCACTATGGCAGCTTTGGGTGCTGGAAGAGTAAAATATGTTGTTGGCATGACCCATTAATATTGCTCCCATCAACAATTCTTTCTTGACTGAGATAATATTTTAATTGAAGTGTCATTTACAGACTTGTAAAAAAGTCATATCAAGGTAACCACAGTACTTGCAATTTTCCTATTTGTTTCATTTGCAATAACCAACATTGATATAGGGTATGGCAAGTAAGCATTTATTAGTTTTGTGTCTAAGGCAGTCTATAAAATACAGTAGCATCAATGTGTCTGTCATTTGATGCATCCTGATAATGTTTAACATCTTCCGACAATTGAAAGTGTTGACCTTGGTATCTGTTCCCTAAACAATTACCAACTTTTTAAACTGTATTCTCAAAACGGATGTACCCATGTGCCATAGATGACTTGATTTTGCCAAAAGATAATATCTATCACAGACACACGGTTTATTTCAAAATTTCTTTCGATGTCATATTAACTGGTTTTGCTTTGTTCTTTTAATAGTTTGCACTTCACTAAATCTTGAACATCATATCTGTCGAATTTTTAACAAAGTTGGACTGCTTTATCTGGTTTGTAATCGTTAATCTGTGTCTTTGATGCTGTCATTATTTATGATTGATATATTGATCATGTTAAACTCTAACCATTAGCAAAGATAAGGAAACAAACTCTGTTTTTGTTCTATTAACTTGATACGTTTTCCCCAATCTCGCAAGTATATTTTGGTATTGCCAAATGGTAAAAATATTAATGAAGTAGATCCAACTCTTATTTTTTGGAAAAATAACCCATAGTGAACAAAAAGTAGTTTGCGCATTCCTCGTTAAAAATTTTAAAGTTTCACGTATATTATCAAACTCGACGAATCTTGAGTGAAATGTCTTGCCCCATAACAACAGATGATGACTTTGACCAATTTGAAAACAATATAGATATGAATGCGTACAAACGTATTTGTAACGAGTTTGGTGTTTCAACCCATACGAATTGGATAACTACTAAAGGCAATAATATACAACTTATGGAGCTGTCTCTTATACACATCTAGATGTGGATAAGAGACAGATGCTATGCTTCAAGATGGCGTTCGGCCAGATAAATCTGGAAATACGGCTAGAAATACTGTCGTATATTATATATGATATTGAAGAAAGTTAGCCGTTAACACTGTTGAATAAATATAATATAAATCATCAAAGGTACATATACAGTGTTTAATAAGGTCATGATGGAACATCGTAGGCTACCCTGTAGCTTTTCTACGAATAAAGTCCTATGAAAAATCCATTTTTTCCAAACTGGAGTCCCCTTTTTTTCGCGATTTTGGACGGCTAAAGATGTTGTCAAAAAGATTAACGCTAATAAAAGAGATTTAAATCTCAGGAATGTTGAGTATTACGAGGATACTGGTAAGGTGGTAATATCAACGGTTCAATTAAATCCTGGTGATGATGAGTTTAACGTGGTCGCACACGAAGTTTTGGCGAAATTTTTAGGTTTTGAAGGCAAACTTCGGTTAAAACCAAATGAGACGGTGGAAAGTGCGAAACCTGCTAAAACTCAACCGGACGAATTATTTATACACTTAGATGAATTGAGCACCTACAAAACGTTTTAAATAAAAACAATAGTGACTTTCTATGCCTTGTACCTTTAACTAAACGAGAAAGTCCCGCGGATTTTATTAAAGTAGCCCGATACGATCTCGAGGATTATAAGAAATTGAGACCCGGAACGATATCCTCCCTCACCTTTGGGATATACGATGAAGATGGTAACGAGGTTGATAATATAGGTGAGCTTTTTATGATAAGCTTATGTTTGAGAAAAAATTGAAAATGGGTTAAAGAAATCAATTTCATAATAAAACATTGTCTAAAGTATCTATTAGTGAAGCAAAAAAATACGCAAAATACAGCTACCAAACAATTTACAAAGATAATAAACCATATATTTTAAAGACTAGTAAATCAGATGCAATTTATGCTGTAAACCACAACTCTTCCTCGTTTGGTATTATCGTTCACCAAGACGACCTTAATGAGTTTGAGAGAATTGATCAACTTTTTTACGAGGAAACTAGCAAGGACATTCTAAAGTGCGACGAAGAAAGGGACAGCTGGATGGCTTGGGTTAAACTTGACAAGGACGTCAAAGTTCACGTCGAAGAACCTCTAACCAATACAAGAATGTACGAAATTATTGCAAAAATTCAGGTGAAGGGAATCTACATTGACTCTTTTGGTAAAAAGTTTCCCCAGATGAAAATAATGGCTGTAGGCTGCAAGCTTAAACGCAAGCAAGAAATTGAACTAGACGAAGATATGCTTCTTTAAGTCCTTTGGAGGCTAAACAAATTATTCATTATAGTAAAATATAATGAATAACATTTCAGAGAAGATTAGAGATTGTATGGTTGAAATAGCTTATCAGGAGTATAAGAAGGGTACTAGAAATACGAGAGTGATAAGAATCTGGCTTACAAGGAATATCAGGAAAAGAAGAATGAAGCTTATAAAAAATTTAAGAACCTTGACTGATCTCAGCATTTTTATTCCTTTATATAATAAAAATGTATCGCTTTATACCAAATGTTAAGTACGACCCTAAAGTGAAATACAACAAGAGCAAGGTCACCAATCTAACTAGCCAACAGATGCCTTTGAGTGACACGAAAGCTTTCACTGTTGATTTCCCAGATGTCTTTCATCCTTATTTAATACAAAAGATGCCGTTGAGAAACGTTGTGGTGATATAACTAAAAGTAGAACGATAAGATTTTGGCAACAAAAACTAGATATAGCTTGGAGGGAATTTC